GTCATATTTTATTGTAATCACTGAATGACTGAGCTTAAATATTCGTCAGCAGGTGTTTGTAATTAAGGTAAATGTGTGACAACATGAAGTTTGAAGAGATTTTTGTTAAAAGTAGCAGTAGCTGGATTTGAACCCTGATCTCCCACATGAAAGCCCACAGTGCTCATCATGAGACTATAGGAGATGTGGCAGAGGACAATCCCAGGGATTGGATTGTATGTATACAGAAAAAGTTTACCTTGCCAATGCAATTATTGACACTTAAGTGCAATAAATTACAGCAATAGGACAACATAAATACAGTATTACAGTAAAACATTAAAATACAATCATATTAATATTGTAATCACTGAAGTACTGAGTTTAAATATTATTAAACTATGATGCAGTACCATATTGTGAAGATGCAGCAGGGGGCAGTATTGGACCAATACAAGGCTCCGTTGACTGCCATTATAATTCATGAAACATTAATATTTCCAAAAACTATTAAGTTTTACAGGCACCAAAAGGCATAGCCATCATTTGGCTCAGGGGCTTTACAGATATAAATTACAATGGCAGCTCTAGGACAAAGTATGCAGGAGGAGAAGCATGGCAAAGGTGAGATGACTTGGATGAGAAACGAATCACAATAGTGTGCATTGCATTGGCGATGCACACTGATAATTAATATTCCGCCAAACACTCCAAATGAAACATTTAAAACTATAACATATTACTTTAACAGAGAACATGACACATATTTACTAGCTAGCCAAATGATTAAAAGAGTAAACTTACAGTCTCATGGACGCACAAACAATAAACCAGAAGCTTGTGAGTCCAATAAGGAGGAGAATCTTCTGATAAAACAAGTTAGCTTATTTTGATACCATTGGAGCAAGGATAATCATCTGAAGCTGAGTAGATCTGAGAAAAATGAGCAGAGACCTGTTCTACCATGTGGAGACAACTATTATGGGATGGTGGTGCATTCATTGTTGTCTGGAAATAAGAAAATCAGTCGATAACCTTGTGCACACATATACTTTAAACAGAGAACAGGAGAGTTGAGCTTGGTTTATACTTTGAGTTGTGTTTCTTGTTTCCCCCTGCTGAGTGACAACAAATTGTACAACTTCTGTCTGCTCTCTCGCTGCTATCCCCTGGTGACAGCAGTCTTGTGCATTGCCCCAAGTCAGAACCATGAGATGCGGACCTTGCAGGTCAGAACATATTGGTTACAACTTCATGGGTGTGTTTGTTCTCTGGAGCCAGAAGAGTCTCAATATTTTCACACATGCACAAAACAATTCATGCAGATCAGTTCAGAGAACTCTGTGATTTTAGAAGAAATAAAAGTCAAATGTAGACACGTCTTTAAAAGACCCTCCTCCTCCTCCTCCACCTCCTCCTCCCCCTCCTCCTCCTCCCCATCACCCTGTGCATCTGCGGTCAGCGCACCTCTTCTCCATCCACGTGATTAATACTGTTTTTTTGCGCAAATTACAGATTTTTTATGCTCATTAAACACGTTAAACGTCTGAAGGGGTTGACGTGTGAACTCTTCAGTCCCGGGCCGGGCTGGTCGGAGCCGAGCTGCAGACTGACAGGTTCAGCTGCTGTAAAGTAGCTGCCCCTCACTTTTAAAACAGTCAGCTGATCAGTCGCGGTTTTGTTGTGCTCGTGACGTGAACACAGGGGGAAATGCTGCGAAGTGCTTTTAGAAATATAATAAATATAAAATACGAAGTAATCCTCGGTGGAAAATAGTCCAGGAAACGTGTGCGTTCCCGGGAGGTGTTCACCTGCAGCTGAGTGAAGCTGACCCC